GGAAGGTTTCTGGGAAGGTGCTCATGGGGTTCATCTTTCTTCGAAAAATTACATTATATATATAAGATTGATTTATTGATTTACGTGTATATATTTAATAATGAACCTCCTCAGAATAGGTTAAATGCTTGGTTCAGTGATAAAGTGGATTCAAGATTCCACCAAATCTTCTTGGCTTCGCGAGTTCGAGTCCTTTGGACATTTTAGCTTGCTGCCGCTTCCTATGTTTTATTGTTCTTGTTGACGTAGAGTTGAATTTTATCTAGTTACTTATATTTGACCTGATTCGTTTATATGTGGATACGGTTAGCGTGCTTAATTGTTCTTTTGAACCCTTCAATGAAAATTCTGCCTCCGTCATTGATTGGGGGTAAAACACTTCCTAACAAAGGGGACTCCGTACCCCGAGGGACTCAAATCCCTTTGATTAATGATGAAAGAGTAATTACCACTCCACCAAAAAAAAAACATGTCGAATACTTTTTAGTTTTTTCACTATGGACTTCAAATATTTACACATAATAAAAGAGGAGTCAAGAACATGTCAAATTGAGATTAATTTCTTGTTGTGATTGAGAATTTTTTTTTGTTAATACAAATTAAACAAGAATACATCTATATAAATACCACAAAAGCAAGTATCAGGATTTGGGCACTCTCCAAAAACAGTGCCTTCATAAGTCTTTCCACAAGTGACCATGCATTTCCCTATATCACAATTCTCCATTTTTATTGGCACATAAGCCAACATTTGACTGGATTTCCTCTCCAAATTCCTCCCTGTTCACACACATAAATTTTTTTTAAAAAAAGTCAGAATGGACATCTATCATGTTTCATTCTAAAATTTGAAAAAAAAAATGGAGTTATTTTTTAGCTTTTGTAAGTAATTTAAAGCCAAAATCTTGAAAATTTAACTTAATTTTTTTATGGCCACAGAACACTTGACCACAATTTATTTGAAATTGAGATCTAAATTACAATTATTGTTGTTGTTGCATCCCTTGATTTTTAATCAACAACAATAATAACGTATTTAGTGTAATTCTACGATTTTTAAATCAATAAAAAGAAAGTTATACTTTGTCCAAGATAATTATTAAGTGATGTGGAGATTAAAGGTACATACCAGAGGATGTAGCACTGAGGTGAAGGAAGCATAGAAGAGCAAGGATGTGAATCAACTTCATTTTTGTTATTTTTTGAACTTATTAGGAAAAATGATAAAAACTTTGCTTCTAAAAAAATGATTTGATCTTAACCACACCATACTGTCTTTTATACTCCCACTTCCGCTCATTTTTAATTATCATTTTCCTTTTTAAAAGTTAAATGATAAAAAATTTGACTAACATTTTATGATGCATTTTTTCATTATATTTATATTAAAAAAATTGTAATATAGTACTTTTCTTATAATTTTTGAATATTTAACTATTTGTTTAAAATATCAAATTAATATAATCTAATTTAACTTTGACAAATAAAAGTGAACGAAGAGAATATTGTCTTTTAGACACTTCAAAACCACCTTGAAAATTGCAAAATAAATTATGTTAATCTAAAAGGTGTCTTTTTGCTATTCAAAATGCAATTTTTTTTCATTTCTCATCCACAATAATTTTTTTTTTTTTTTTTTACTTATCACTTTTAACATATTAAGAATTGATTAATATAAAAAAAACATATTAAGAAAAGATAATTATGCTTTTTCATATTTTACCCTCATCATTAAATACTAATTCTTTAAATTAATTTTCAAGACCTAATACTAACATTATTTAATAGGGATAGTTTGGTAAAATACATATATTAATAATTGTTTTCTTAATAAATGTGTCAAATCAAACAGTGACAAGTAAAAATTAACCGAAGAGTATTTCTAGAATGTCTTAGGACCATATCGTTTAACTTAATTAAAATATGTACATAGATTTCCTCTATTTTAAATTATTTATCCTACTTTTCTTTTTAATCGGGTTAAAAAAAATCATCTTTTATATTTGGTAACAACTCTTTACACCTATCATCTAATTTATTATATCCAAGACCACAAAAATCAACAAGATTTTGATACATTAAGCACTTTTTTTTTTATAGAATTAATCATATCTTAAATTTGCTGAATCAAATTTAAACAAACAAATTTCATTTTTAATGTCTGTCATTAAACAAATTTTAATTAATTTATTTATAAGTCCTCCATAATTAGTATTCTTAGGCCAATTTGGTCCCTTTCTTTTCAGATTGATGAAAACTGGAAACTATGGCGGCTCGCTTATTCCGACCGCACGGCCATGGCGCCGCCGTAGGGCAGCTTTTTTTCATCTACAACTCCAAATTCTTGTTTCAATATTCAACAATTGCAGATAAAACTGCATGTGACCAGACACATTTCTTGGTGAACTATCTCGTGAACTCGCTTGGATTTTCTAGAGGAGAAGCCATTTCAACAAGCACTAAGGTAACTCGTTCGAAATCCACTGGAAATCCTCAATCTGTGTTAAATTTCTTCGAAAAAAGCGGTTTGGACAAAACCAATATCGGTAAAATTGTTTCTGCAGTTCCGAAGTTGCTTGTGTGTGATGTTGACAAAACCCTTAAGCCCAAACTTGACATTCTTCAACAGCTTGGTTTATCTGGATCTGATTTGGTCAAGGTCATTACAGGGAGTGTGTCTATTTTGAAAAGCCTTGAAGTTTCTGATTTGGAATTTTGCATTAGTTATCTTAGAAAAATTTTGGGTAGTGATGAGTATGTAGTGAAAGCTATCAAGAAAAGAACATGTTTACTCTCTGTTAAAGCATGTGAAAGAGTGAGAATCAATATGTTGTTCTTTCAGAGCATTGGGTTTACAGATGATGATATCAAAAAATTCATACTTCAAAACCCATATACTCTTTTGGCAAGTCCTGAGGTTGTAGAGGAAAAAGTGCACAGACTTGAAAATGAATTTAATATCTCTCGATCATCGGGATTGTTTATCCATGGAGTTGATGTGTTTATTTCAATGAAAGAGTCGACTGTAGACACAAAACTTGGCGTTTTAAGGGATTATGGTTGGTCTAAATGGGACATAATCAAATTGGTTCAGCTTTTGCCTTATTGTTTGAGGCTGTCAGAGGAGAAATTGCGAGCTGCGCTAGACTTCTACATGGTGCAACTTGGTTTGAAACCTGCCTACTTGGCTTCTCACCCAACACTGCTTATGTTCAGTATGAAAAAGAGAGTTTTGCCCCGGTTGGAATTCATGAGAAGTTTAGTTGAGAAGAAACTATGTGATGAAGATTACAATCTGTATACTGTTCTGTTGCCATCAGAACAGAAGTTTTATCAGGCTTATGTGCTTGCCCATAAGATGCCTGATGTGTGTGAACTATACAACAAAATTCAGCAGCATGAAAAAGACAAAAAGTGATATTCTTGTTCGCCAGAGGTTTGATACTCCATTTCATTTTGCCGATCTAGTCTTTTGCAATTTCTACCATAGTGAGATTATAACTCTTGCGAAAATGATATGTATAACTTTGAACTAAAGGGAAGAAACTCCAGTAGAGGCTCTTGAGAATAAGAAAGTGAGAAATCTGTTTCTGCTCCTATCCTCAAAATTCGATCCTCTGCCATTCTCCATTTAAACAGAAGATTTGGTTCACTGGCTACAGTTCGAACTCGTGATCTGTGCTTATTTACAGCAGATTGTGATTGATTAGGATGATTATTTTATCTTATCAGCCTTTAGGCTATTTATATCTATCCATCAATGCCTAGATTCCAAACTAGTCAGCCTTAGCTGTATCATATCTATTCCATTTAGTTAGGCCCAAATCATTATCAACCCCTTGGTTATACTCAAGGGTGAAATTTCAACAGTCCTACACTTGACACAGAGCTTGTTGGAGAATGTTCAGAAAAAATCATTTTGAGTTCTTGACAATGTAATGCTTCCTGGAAACCCATCCCATCCCATCCCCTGAATTTTGTTTCTCATTTACTCATAGTTTGGTGACGATAAAATCTCCTTGCTGAGATTACTTGACTAAGACATTGTTTTTTTTGGCATTGTTTCCCTGCCCTCCTCCTATCTCTCAAAAAGGTGAAAAAGGAATTTTCATTCCTTTGTGTCCTCTAGGTAATATCATAGTAGGCACTAGGCATCTATGAAGCTTTTAGTTTCCCAAAAAGAAAGGGGAAGAAGAATTAGTTTGGGCTTTATACCGTTCAAAACAATCAGTTTGGGATTTGTCTGCTGTCCAATGAACCTTTCTTTTTCTAAAAAAGAACAATCGTCTATGACTAGTTAAACCTGTATGATGCAACTAATTTGACAAGTTGCATATGTTTGATTAATAGAGTATGGGTGAAGAATTATTTGCCAAGTATGAACTCGATGTACTAGGCTTCCATCTTCCCAATTAAGGAGCTAGGAGCACCAAAACAACAAGAATGGACCTCTGATGATGTTTGTGACCTGTTCACACTCTAGCTGCTATGTTGCTTCTACTTTGAAAGCTTTCGGGTTCAGCTAACCCCCCTGTTTATTCATCTTATTTTAGTCACATATTAGAATTCAGATGTTTGGAATCTTCCACCCGTCGCACAGTGATTTTTTGTTGTGATTGTCACTAGTGCCTCAGGGTTGTGTTGTGGATTATCCATGCTTTGTTATGTGACTAATTTCTTCTTTTCTTTCCAAGGAGTCACACAAGAGAATGAAGATGTTTATCAACTTTTACTACCCCACCCCCTCCTTCCTCGTGGCTAACCCCTCTCTTCCTCTGCATTTATTATGGATATCTTTTTTGGAGGGGAGGTGAAGTAGTTTATTTATTTTATCGTGTTAATATTATACCTTTAATAATCTTCACTTTGAGTTTATAAAGCTCAACACAAAAACATGCGGTACAAAATTCATCCAATAGTGGACTTCTGAAATTGCACCCTAGGTTGTGGCTTAGTGGTCAATGAAGAAAGTTGAGACCCATGAAGTCTTAGGTTCAAATTCAAGCGGAAGTAAAAATGCTAGATAATTTCTTCCTATCTTTTCAAGCCTTGATGATCAGAGTTATTCACTGGCACAACAACCTGTGCTGGTGGGGAAATAGCAAGTATCCCGAGAAATTGGTCGAGGTGCGTGCAAGCTAACCCAGACACCACGATGATAAAAAAGTAGTGGACTTCTGAAATTATTTCTTACTAAAACACACTTCTCCATTCATAAGTTCATTATTTTGCAGCTAAAACACATAGATATTGAGAAAAGACTGTAATATATCTAAACCTAGCATGCGATGATAAATATTAATCAATTCAGGATGGAGAATATGAAGATTGGGTTTTCACTTTACCACCAGAGTATGTCAAATCCTTTAAGGATTGGCTAATGAGATGGTTTGTTAAAGTATTAGGTGATTTCTTCCTACTTATCTAACCTTGGTAGACAAAGTTGATTTTTGATAACCGTGGTGTTTGGAGTAGCTTTTACACACCTCGACTAATTCCACGAGATACCTCCCACCTCCCACCTCCCACCAACAATAGGTACCATGTAACTTTTTCTATCAAGGCTAGGATAAATAGGAAGAAATCACCTAGTAGTTTCTGCCTCTGTTGAGATTTGAACCTGAGACCTCATGGTTCTCCTACCCACTTTATTGACCACTAGGACACACACTTGTAGACAAAGTTATCCGGTGCATATAATGATTTGTGGTAGAATATAACAGGTACCGGTTGAATCAGTCGAGGTGAATTTAAATCACTAAATAGATACAAATAAGTTCAATGCTGACATCACTACATAAAACATGGGTCTCTTGCTCCTTGCTGATGGAGCTGGTTCAGATACACCTCCTTTACTATTATTATTTTTAGGAAAAAGACTGTTCTTGTAATTTCATGGTCTATACAGAAAATGCGAGGAACAACACCATGTTGACAGATAGATTTGCTGATATTGTTTGGATTTTTAGGAAGAGTCTGATTCTAAGAGTGCTTTCTTTAACGAATGGTTCCCAGGAACTATGCCCTAATGCCACCTTAATCTTTGAATTTCTTGTGCAGTATTTTGGCTCAATTGCAACTTCGTATGTTGTGCTGGATGAGGCATGCGAGAATGACAACCGTTGTGGCATTCGATCAGAGAAGTGCGGTGATGGCAACAGCTTTGCAGATGACTCATTGCTGCTTGATGAAAGGACTTGATCTGCAATTGGAAGTCATCTCAAGCATGCATTCATACAGATTGCAGGTAGCAAACACACAACATTCTGTGAAACAAGCTGAAGCAGAGCCGGTGATGCATAATTTTACTAGTTTTAACTCTCTAAGATGGATAAACTTTAATGTCAATAGCTCTCAAGCTGGCCAAATAGCAATGGCTGGCAATTTTGTGTCTAAATCCTGACCTACATTTAGCCTTGTAGTTAAGTACAGGCTTTTAATATTTCTCAGAATTTCAGTTAGGTAGCAGAAGCCACAGGAAAAGAGAGTGTCATTCATGACACTCAAATGATGACACAAAAGGGTGTGTTTGGTATGAAGGGAATTGTTTTCCATGGAAAATGTATGGTTTTTTAATTATTGTCTTGTGTTTGGTACGTAAATAAAATGTATCGTTCTAGTACCATACCCTAGGGGAAATCGAATTCTTGCTACCTCTTTGAAGGAGAGATGCCTTCATCCTATTATAGGAACATCGTCAGGGCAGTTCAATTTTTTATGGGGGTGGGAGGGTGACGATTAGGGTACAAAGTTAGTAGGTAGTTGAGTGCTGTCTAGTTCCGTTATTAGTATTGTTACTATTATTCTCCAACTATCTTATTTTTTTATTTTAGTATTATATGTTGCTTCCTTTGTTTCAATTATCATATTATTTGTTGTTATCACTTTTCTCTTCATTGTTTTCAACATGACTTCTTAGCTACTATATTTGCTTTGCATATTTGATTTTTCATATGTTTACTTGAGCTAACGGTCTATATACACGTCATCCTCCCCGTACCTCACTTATGGAATTACAGTGGGTATGTCGCTGTTGGGATGGAGGGGAAAGGAAGTTCTAATGGTAGGAGTCTGGGAGGAAGAACCTTTGAGAACAATGAGAAGTTGGTCTATGTTTATTTCCAAAATTTAGTGCAATTAACAAAGGAGGATTGTGTTAGGTTACAAGTTACATTGTTACAACCCATATAAAACTAGTTAATTTTTCACAATACAAATTCCAAACTTATTTTGAATTGAAGCATCTTTTTACGGTGGCAATGTTTTTCTAAAAGTTTTATGATTGCTATAGTAAATTATTGTTGTTTATGTATACTAACATTTAACGTTTATACTTAATTTAACTATTATAATCAATAACACATAAAATTATCTTTTATATGTTTTCTATGTTACACACTAAAACAAAATATTTGTTAAATTCAAAATGTTAATTGATTTTCGTGATTCATTAATTAAAATTTTAAAAACTAATACGTTACTAATGAATTCATATCTAAGTAAAGAAAAATCTAATAGTTTTGGAGTATTAACCCTATTCACTCAAATTAAAATATGAAACTCACAAAAAATATAATAATTCAAAAAGGGGTTTTAACCATTGAGGCAACATTTCTCCCTAAGCAGAAGCGTTTTCTACTCTTGCTAAGTTAATAGAAAGGAGCTCAACAATATGTTCCTCCGATTCAGAGGCCGCGGCGGCGCCGCTGCGGCCGCTGCTGCCAGATTTCACGGTCTTACAGACTTCCTTTCCTTGAATAGTATCAAATCTCAATGTCTCTACTCAACAAGCACAACCTCTGAATTGGTGAAATACTTGGTTGATTCTCTCGGGTTCTCCAAACAGGAAGCATCGTTGGCATCTTCCAAGGTAACTTCACGGAAACACTTAAATAATCCTGATTTAGTCATCAATTTCTTGAAACAAACTGGTTTCGACAACACCCAGGTGAAAAAACTGGTTTTCATAGCACCCAAATTGCTATTCCATGATGTTAACAAAACCCTACAACCCAAATTCCAGTGCCTTATTGATCTCGGGTTATCCGGGTCGGACTTGGCGAAATTAATGACTAAAGATAGAACAATTGTTGAAAGAGGTTTAGTTACTCATTTGAGACCTACCATTGATTTTCTTAGGAAAATTTTGGGTAGTGATGAAGATGTAGTTAAGGCTATAAAGAAAAGTTCTTGGTTGCTTTCATTTAGTGCTCATCAAATTATGAAGAATAATGTAGTGTTGTTGAGAAACTCTGGTGTTTCTGATGTGAAAATAAGAAAACTTGTGCTTATATGTCCTAATTATCTTACACAAAAACCTGAGTGGGTTAAGGATTTGTTGCATAGGTTGGAGAAAGATTTTCGAATTCCACTCCATTCTCCTATGTTTCCTTATGGGTTTCATACATTAGCCGCGCAAAAGCAGTCCAAGTATGAAAACAAGATTGAAATTTTCAAGAGTTTTGGATGGTCTAATGATTATGTACTCATGATGTTCAGGAAGTTACCGTATTGTATTGCCCTCTCTGAGGATAAAATTCAGAAGGCATTGAGTTTTTACATGAAAAGGCTTGGTTGTGAACCTGCTTACTTGGCTTCTCATCCTTCAATTTTGGTCTTTAGTTTGGAAAAAAGGGTGGTACCTCGGGTGCAAGTCTTGAAAATTTTGGATGAAAAGAAGGTTGAGAGGAGAAAGTTGGGTTTCTATTATGCTCTGAGCATAACAGAGACAAAGTTCATGGATTACTTTGTGCTACCCTACAAGGATCAGATACCTGATTTGTATGAACAGCTCAACAAAATTGTGGCTCCTTAGTACATTTTGTTTATTTTTGGCACTACATTGCAGTATTGTTTTCATTTCAAACTTGTTTTGCTTTCTAGTGACCTACTTGCATGTTTTCCAGTGTTGCCAAAGATCATTTCTCTCTTTATGTCTTGTTGCTTTCAGTACTTACACATTAGGATAACTCTATAGCATACCTTTTAATTCTGAAAAAATGAGAAGCCACAAAGACGGGAAGTCGTATATTATCAGTCATGTTCTTCTTCTGTGGAGTTTAAAGTTTATGCCTCTGTTTAGATCGGTGAGCTTCTTTTAGAGAAGAAGTGTGCAGTTTTCAGGAGTTAACTAGGATACCATGGTTCGAAATGTGCCTTGTCGTTTAACTCTTATCAGAGGTTACAATCAAGAGGAAGGTAGATTTTCTTCTGAAAGGAATTGGGATTAAAACCAGAGATGTTGGTTTCTGCTTCCCTTTTCGGTTAGAAGATTGGGTTCAAGAGAACATTATTGCTATCAAGTTCTCCAGTTAAGTGAGTTGGTTTTGTTGAGCAGTTTGTGCTGCCTTACAAGGCTCAAATTCCCGATGTGTATCTCACACAAGAAAATAATGAAAAATTAGTAGTACTTTGAGGAACATTTGTTTCATTAGATGCTGAAATTGTATCTCAGTCTTGCAGCCTGGAAATTTTCTTGCAAGTTTTATCAGTTTCATTGCAGTTTGTCCAGACTTCCTATGGCTATAATAGTTTACATAATTCCAGTTTACTCAACTCAACATTGTTATTTAACTGTCTGTTTATTTGCACTTGATGAAGATGTTTAATCTTTTATCATTGAGATCTCAATTATTAAGTGCATTTATTTTTCAAGTCTCAGATATATAATATACACATGGATACTATCATAGTTTGGCAAAAATACTGTTAAGGGTCACATGGTAGAGTGATAAGTATTTCAGTGCGCTTTGGTCTATCTTATAAAGACCATCCTTTGTATAACTTATGATCCATTCAAGAATTGAGTGTCCCCAAGTAAAATCCTGTAGAATACAAGGAAAAGATAGAATCTTGCTTGACAAAGAGTTTGGTAGAAAACGAAAGAGACATTCTTTTTGAAACAAACTAAAAAAGAAAGTAAAATTGAAACAAAAATAGTAAAATCCTCATGAGGTACAAAATAATTTTTTTATGTTGAACCCGTGTTCTTTTTATCTATACTACCTTAAACGCATGAACTCCCAAACTTGAATGTTGAATTACTATAATACCCCCAATTAAAAATACTCAATTTATTATATTGAAAGTAGATACCTTTTTCAAATTAAAGGATTATGACTTTTTCAATGAGTTGTGACTTTTCCAACGGGTTGTGACTTTTTTGATAGGTTGTGACTTTTTCAATGAGTTGTGACTTTTCCGAAGGGTTATGATTTTTTCTATGGATTGTGACTCTTCCAAAGGGTTGCGCCTTTTCTGATGAGTTGTGCCTTTTTCAAAGGGTTGTGACTTTTTCGAAAGGTTGTGACTTTTCGGATAAGACACAATTAACACATATTCATACTACTATTTTGTAGCTATAAAAAGAGGGGTTTCCTCACACTTTTAAACAACAATTTCTTTAGGTCTCTACTCTTCTTCTTCTTAAAAAATTTCAAGTATTATTTGCAAAAATTGATTAAATTCGAAATTCAACGAAATTCGAGGTACCTCTTAAGAAAAAGTTGGTGAAAAAATTGTAGCAAATCATTCATCAATTCACACTCGTATTTTTTCTTACCATTTTCATGAGTTAACAATGACATAAAGTTGTGGGAGAGACAAAAATGTTAAACAGATACGAAAAAAGGCATATGATTTGGGTAAGATATTTCTTCTTTGTTTTCTTAATTTTTCTTCTTTTCCCTCAAACGAAGGAATTGCTTCCTAATTTTTCTAAAACAATGGGTAACAACGTAGTCCATTGAATTATTAGTTTTGATGATAAATTCACTATTTCAAAAATAGATTTTCACTTTTACTTATAATATGATAATATATTCATAATAATAATTACTTTTAATAGATATGTACGTAAAAATGAACGGAGAAAGGAAAGTATTGGTGGCAAGAGATTTAAATCAAATGGAACACTAGAGTGAATATAGCATGAACATATATTTTCGTCTCTATGTATTGTTCCATATAATTTTTCTTTATGTCACAAGATACACTCCTTACTAGATATGTAAAAATAGATAAGAAAATAGTGATTGATCATAAAATGATCTTAAATCAAATTAATGATTATATAAATACTACTTTACATTTTATTCATCTATTAATTTTTATTATTGAAAAATTTAAATATTTTATATCATGATACAATTTCTATAAGATACTAGATACTTTCATTAGACAACAACTATATGATATGTATGTGGCAGAAGAAAAAAAAGAGACTACAATTCCACAAAGATAAGGTAGAAACTTAATGAAATGAAATATTTTGCACCATATGTGATGTAATTCCTATATTAAAATTAAATTATTCTACTGAAGTATATATAATCATCATTCATGATAACAACCAAGAACTCATTTTGGTAAAATTACCTCTCTATGATAGCCTTACTCAAATAGTAATAGAGTAATAATATTTTGTAAAAGATATGTTACATATAAAGATAAAATATTGAAATATTTATGGTAATCCTTATTAGTGTCATGCGCATACTAAATTTCAAGTACGAATATTTAAGACAAAATTTGTACTCAAACGGTGTACATCATTAACAATCTTTGACTTATGTACACAGTCAATCGAAAAGTCAAATATGAAAGCCAACAAAAAGAACGTCATCTATTATGTTATAACATATAAAATAAAAATTACAATAAAGTTCTAAAAAATAAAATGTAGTTGTTCTCCACATGTTCATATGACATCTAAACAGATTAAGTGGAATACACGTGCAAAGCACATCTTGATAGATGACAAGAAAAATACACAACAAATATCATCTATAAGGTAATATTAGTGAGATACTAATTATATGATTGAACCTCATCAAATTGAAATAAATATATACATTATTGCATTTAACTAATTAAATTTTTCATTGACCATCTTCATAGGTTCGTGTGAATAAGAGGTATATATAATGATCCACATTGAACATTCACAAAAGAATCTGTAATATTATTTTGTGCAAAACATATTATTCAAATCTTCGCTTAAATTTTCTGAATTGATAATCACGTGCAACACACGTGTTGAAAAACTAGTAATATTTAAAATGATGGGTATAAATTTATGAATGGACTTTTCTATTATTTTATTTTTTTAAAAAGCTATCATCTAAAATCAATTCAAACTATGGAATGTAATTGCTAAAGACCCACAAATTGGTGATAGAGGTGTAGATACTCATTTGAGACCTACCATTGATTGCCTTAGGAGAATTTTGGGTAGTGATAGAAAATATAGTCAAGGCATTAAAGAGAAGCTTTTGGTTGCCTAATTTTGGTGCTCGAAACATTATGGAGAGTGGAGACAAATCTATTTTGGTTGCTTAATTTCAGTGCACAAGCCCTAATGTAATCATAGATATATATAGTCCACTTGCTTTCTATTATCATGTACTCTCTCCGTTTACTTATACTTATCAGAATCTCAAGAAATCCTAAAAAAAAGCAAAATAATTTAGCAAGTTTATCTGCTTCATTGCAGTTGGTCCCAGCCTTCCTATGACTAGTTTACTAATGCAGTGTCCATAGTCATTTTACTCAACTCAAATTGTTGTTCAACTGTCAGTCCCTTCTCTTGGGCCTTATCTGAACCTAACTAAGATTTTAATCTTAATCATTGAGATCTTAATTATCAAATACGTTTATTTTTTAAATCTCATGTATACACATATGGATATTATCTTAGTTTGGCAAAAATACTGATAAAAGTTATGGTAAAGTGATATATATTTCAGCGCGCTTTGATCATTCTTGCAGAAATCGTCGTTGTATAAGTTATGATCCATCCACGAAATGAACTTTCTCAAAGTAAAATCCTATGGACTACAAAAAAAAGGTAGAATCTCATTTGGCAAAGAGTTGATAAAAGTCGAATAAATATTCTTTTTAAAACATACTAAAAAGAAACATATTGGGGAATGAGTGTTAATCCAATATGCCCTTTGTGTGAATCAGAGAATGAGTCGATCTAACACCTTTTTTTTTCAGTGCTCTTTTTCAACATCAATGTGGAACAAGCTACTACAATGGCTATGTCACGACCCGATTTCTCAAGTCATGATGACACCTACTATAACCCACCAGTAGGTAAGCCAATTCGTAACCCGAAACAACAAGTAATGGGTCTGAGGGTAGAAACTAAACAAGAGTAGGCAAATAACAATATAAACAGGCGGAAGCAAACCAAAAACATTTATACAAATAAAGATCCCTCCCAAAACCTGGAAGTCACTAGTATAGAGCTACTAACAAAATGAGTACAAGTCCCAAAAGTGGACAACAAAGACTGGACTGTCTCGAAAGGTAAAAGACAAGTCTATATATACAGATGGAGACTGAAATAGTACAAAACGCCGTGTGCTCACCCCCGTCTCCGGATCAGACTGCTCCAAGCTCGATCAACGCTGGCTACTAGTGCCCGGACCTGCTTCACGAAATAGATGCAGAGCGTAGCATGAGTACCAAAACAACAGGTACCCAGTAGGCATCATAGGCCGACTGAACTTGAAAAGTAAAGGCAATATGAAAAGAAGGAATAACACAAACCGAAGTCAAGAACTAAAATCTAACTAACAAGGGAATGCACACGAGTGTACAAAGAACTAACTAAAGTAATCTA